CCACATACAGTGACCCCCCGGGGCCAACAGCGACAAACTCATAGGCCTCCGTCGGAACCCGCCGCACCGATGTAGGTCCAGGTCCGGGCACCGAGGCCCGGGCACCGAGGACTCACACCACCCAGGCCAAGGCCCGACAGGGCCAGAGGACCCGAGCCCCACCAGGCAGACACCAGGCCGAGCCGACACATGCCCAAGCGCCCAGCCCCCGACACCAAGGGCCCCAAGCACGCCGGCAGGCAAGGGCACACCCCACCAGGGGGCCGCGCAATAGGGGCGCGATGCCAAGCACCCCCAGTTGTATCAAAGAGGGGGCAGTCCGAGTCTCGGCCTAACAAATACCCATTCATACACAGACACAATCACACAATCCCAACCTCAGTCTCACATTCACTCACTCAAAGACATACAATAACGATACATTTCATTCTTATCTTACTGGAACAATTGTAACGACGGCTGTATTTTCCAATAGCCTCGGCCAGCAGGTGTGCAGCAGGGAGCAGCGAACACGCCCACAAAGTTCTGACCAATCGCACAAAACTTAACACGTACCCTGTGAGAAGCGGCAGTGCTGTGGATTAGTGGTTAGCACTGTTACCTCACAGCAGGAAGGTCTTGGGTTCAATCCCCTGTTTAGGCCTGGGGTCTTTCTGTGTGGAGTTTGTATGTTCTCCACATGTTCACATGGCTTTTCTCCAGTAACTCCGGTCATGTTAGGTAGCTTCAGACCCTCTTGTGCAAGAGATCTGTGGGATTTGCCTCTTTAAATAAAGATAAATAAAATTTAAAAATTACTTCTGAATGGCAATGTGCAAAACGGGCTCTAGCAAAAAAGTAATTTCACACCCATGCTGTGCGACAGTGTCTCACTTCTCGTGGAACATAGACCTGCCTTAAGAGCTGAACTGAGGAAGAAATGGCTGAAAACGCAGGAACAAACCAAACGCAATGAAAAATGCAACAAAACAAACTTCTAACAGGACGCGCATTTTGTTATTTTACAGGCCAGAATTCTGAATTTACCACATCGTGAATATAATTAAGCTGATCCATGGAACACTGGACCAGCTCTTTACCCTCACTAGGGTCCTCGAAGGGTCATGGGAGTTTGCCCATCCAGTCCACATGTGTTTTGTCTTGGAGAAGGCGTTGGACCGTGTTCCTCAGGGTGCATTGTGGGGGGGTGCTCCGTGTGCATGGGATTGGGGGCCCATTGTTACAGGCTGTTCAGTCCCTATACAAGCGGTGAGAGAGTTTGGTTTGCACTGCTGGTAGTAAGTCGGACCCCTTCAGGGTGGGAGTTGGACTCAGCCAGGGTTGCTCGTTGTCACTGATTCGGTTCATAACTTTTATGGACAGAATTTCTCGGTGCAGCCAGGGGGCGAAGGTCGTTCGGTTCGATGGTCTCAGGATTCCATCTCTGCTCTTTGCTGATGATGTGGTCCTGTTGTCGTCTCTGTGCCATGACCTTCAGCGCTCTCTGGAGCGGTTCACAGCCGAGCGAGAAACAGCTGGGATGAGAATCAGCACCTCCAAATCTGAGGTCATGGTCCTCAGTCAGAAAAGGGTGGCTTGCTCTCTTCGGGTCGAGAGTGAGGTTTTGCCCCAAGTGGAGGAGTTCAAGTATCTCGTGATTTTGTTCACGATTGAGGGAAGAATGGAGCGTGAGATGGATAGACGGATTGGTTCAGCGTCTGCAGTGTTGTGGACTCTGTTGTGGTGAAGAAGGAGCTGAGCTGTCAGGCAAAGCTCTCTGTTTACCTGTTGGTCTACGTTCCTCCCCTCACCTCTGGTCATGAATCTGGGTAGTGACAAAAAGAATGAGATCGTGGATACAGGAGGTTGAAATGAGTTTCCTCTGCAGGGTAGCTGGACTCTCTCTTAGAGACAAGGTGAGAAGTTCAGTTAAAACTGCTGCTCCTCCACATTGAAAGGAGCCAGTTGAGGTGGTTCGGGCATCTGGTCAAGATGCTTACTGGGCACCTCCCTAGGGAGAAGCTGTGGGCATGTCCAACTGGGAGGAGGCCCCAGGGAAGACCCAGGACACGCTGGAGAGACTATGTCTCTTGGTTGGCCTGGGAACGCCTTGGAATCCTCCCAGAAGAGCTGGAAGAGGTGGATGTGGAAAGAGATGTCTGGACCTCCCTGATCAAGCTGCTGCCCCCTGAGACCTGACTTTGGAACAAGCGGAAGATGATGGATGGATATAATTAACGCAGTCTTTACTTTATTTGCATATCGTTGACCAAAAGCATTTACAAACTGCACGACCCAACCTGAACCTTAATGCCTGCCACTGATGCAAACCTGCAGTTTACATTTTGGCTAATTTCCCTCCTGTCTCCAGTCTGTGGTACTGATGTGGACGGCTACGCTAAGACTGAAGGAGCGTGGGTGCTTTCGCTCCACAAGAGAATGTACACCGTCAACACGGTGACCGACTGCGCCACCAAATGTGACACAGAAACATCTTTCACCTGCAAGTAAGCTCACCCTTCTGAATCGTTCTGCGTGTGCTGCACAGCAGAGGTTGATACAGTTTTTAACTTTTTATTTTCCAGGGCTTTTGTGTACGTTGAGAAGGACCAGGAGTGTTGGACAGCAGCAGCCAACTCCAAAACAGAGCTCGTCATGCGGCGGCAAAGCTCAGCTTTATATGAAAAAAACAGCAAGTCCCTTTTCTTTACCTTTTACCACTTTTTAATGCAGTATCTGGTGTTTTTGTGTCTCTGGGGTTAATGTTTAGCCTGTGGTGTAAGATCTGGGATTTTTGGACTGGTTCTGCAAACACACCAGAGATCGATTACAAGTCAAACATCAGTTCTGTTTTTTGGGGGGCTAAAACTTCCCTGTGTGGGATGAATCAAATGAAATGGTCAAAAAGAAATCTGCCTTCGCTTTGTTCTTTTCTAGAATACCTCCTGGAGTGCATCAACGGAACAGGAACAGATTACAGAGGGACGAAAAGCAAAACAAAATCAGGAAAGTTGTGTCAAAGTTGGGATGCAAAGTTCCCACACAGGCCCAAGTACGAACACACACACTGCCATTTAATTTCACACATCATATTACACCTTTACTGACTTTCCTGTTTCTGTTGGCCGCAGCTACACACCACAGACGTCTCCCATGGCAGATCTGGAGTCTAACTTCTGCAGAAACCCTGACGGCGACAGTGACGGACCCTGGTGTTACACCACCGACGCAGAAACACGCTGGGAGTCCTGCAACATAGCCAGCTGTGCTGGTAGGACACATTTATCTGTGGGAGCCTCCTTTCACAACACAGACAACATTTTAAAATATTTATTGGAGCTTCTGGATAATTTAATTATCCTATCATCAACTCATTAATCAAACAAGCCGTGCAGAAGGATCCAAGAAGATTTTTCAACCCAGTTTACTTCTTGTAAGGGGGTGCAGCGTTGAAAACAGGCATACAAGATGTTACATGTCGCTCCGGTCCAAGGTCTGCCTGCGGACAACGAGTTAGATAAAGCTTAAATACCTGGTAGCAGACAGACGAGGTCAAGACGACCTCTGCTTCACAGCTCACAGTTGTTGAAGGTGTCAGAAGTTATCAGACTCCTCTCTGAGTCGACAAAAAGACTCTCTTGTCTTCATATACATGGTTCTATATTCATTTAACATTAATCAGTGAAAACATCCATGACCTTTACATAACTTCCCCCACTAGGAGCTCTGCTGTAATTTTACCTCTTTTTTTGACAATATGGAAGTATCTGTGATATAAACAGGGGTTCCACCAAGTGGGGGCTTTGTGGGGCAATAGCCACCCCTAAAAAAACTGGTGTTCCACCTCAATGGACCACCTTAGCCTGACAGGTTTATTCTTTTTAGTCTCAAGTTTTTACTTGATGTGCATTTTTAATTCCCTCTAGTTGTTTAGGATTAGTAAAACCATTTAAACATAAAAATGTTTTGTTTTTTTTAGCAATTAAGAGTTAAGATGTATAAATATTATTTAAAATAAATTTAAAATCTAGCCCCTCTGAATGAGGACAACTGGTCTAAAACAGATGTCCTTAACATCACGCTGACAGGTCTCAGGAGGATCTATACTGAATATTTTTGTCAAAAATTTGTTTTCTTTCTTAATAATGTTAAATTTAAAAGAGCTCAGCTAAGTTGTGAAAGTGCTTTTCCCAGTAAGTAATCATAACTGTAGATAAAAAAAAATCCAAAGTAGTCTTAATA